TTATTTCTAGTGTAACTAAGATAGTTTTAGGACCTTTTGAACAGTAGGTATATTTGTGATTCGAAAATCGAGTTTATTCTCAAGTTTTAAAGTTCACATTTGTATGAATTGCAATAATTTGAAATTCTTCCTGCTCCACGATCAAGCCATATACGCTGGTATTATATACTCGTACGTATTCACCGTATGGTGGCAGTCGCCGAATAATGGCGGCATAAGAGAATCCATTGTCCCATAATATACCGTGAGCGTAGAAGAGAACTTGAATATGTCACGTTCCCCGGGTATTGTTGAGCTTCTTGGCGAGTATAGTTAGTCCGCAATAATATAAGTAAGAATAGCGATAATAGTGTCCTCCAGACCGAACTTTGATAACGGCGGCCAGCCTCAACGGAGACTGGCCATCTGCGCAGGACTGGATTACAGTGCAGTGCACGAGTGTGTGCACAAACTGAAGTGTACTCTATTACCTCACTCTCATAGTCCGATGGGACATAATCCGACACGACCGGAGAGAGATCAGGCGCAGGATCAACAACTTTACGTGCTTCCCGTGGCACGGGGGTGTAACACCGCCAACTTCCTGACACCGTACTACTACTAAGAATTTTTTAACAGAAACACCCCACAACGGATTTTTGCCCAATAACGGTATCTTATTGCATTGCTGCAGCTATATTATGATTGTAACACGAATGGGTCGGCTTCACCAGGCAGTACCACGCTCTCCCAGAATACCAGCGTAAAATAGCAGCCTAATGCTGCTGTATTTCGCATGGTGAGTGTGGAGATCTGGAGACGCTTTGGACTGGAAAGGAGGCATTCCATTTTAATCCTCAGGGATGACAACGCATCTGCATTTTGATTTTTAATCGAGTATATATATAGATGTCTAAGGGCCACATTATCCATTTACCATCAGGTGGACTATGAGCTCGTTTACCCTTATTCTATAAAAATGCGGCAAGTAATAGATCTATATCAAAGAAGTTGTTGCACGAATTTTATTCCAGATCGTTCGTTTTTTTTTCAGTCGTACTTCCGCACATTGGCAGTGCGACGGTACACACTCGTGACTCCATGGCTGTACTAGCTGCCAAAAATGTTGTGAATGCCCTCAACGGAAAACCATTATTAACACCGGTTTTGGAATAAGGAAATTACCAACCTCCTAAATTAAAAATATTAATAATGGCATTATGGATATCTATCAAAATTTCATAAGCACTTTAATTTTTAATTCTTGAGGAGCCTGCGGTAAAAATATTTTTACCAGGCAGATTATGTTTACAATAAAATAAATGACTATTTAGTTAACTTTTTTTTATTTCTAGAAATTAATAAATTATAAGCAATCATGCTTTAAATCCAATTTTGGACAAACAACGTAACTAAAAATCTAATTTACGTATCGTTTTTCAATTCAATTTAACATTATTAAATAGGTACTTAATATGTAATCATCATCAATCATCATCATTACAGCCTTCATAAGTCCACTGCTGAACATAGAACTCCCAAAAGGAATGTCACAAAGCACGGTCCTGAGCCACCTCCATCCATCGATTTCCTGCATGTCTTACCATCTCGTCACTCCATCTAGTGAGGGGTTGCCTTACACTTCACCTACCGAGGCTGCCACTCGAGAACCTTTTTCCCCATCGGTTGTCGATTCTTCCTGCTGTACGGCCGGCTCATTGCCACTTAAGCTTACTCACTTAAAATGTATTGTATTGCAAATAGCTACCTAAATGAATTATTAGAAGTAAAATATTAATTTATATTTTAAGCTATCCTTTAAAGTAATATGCCGCATACATGACATGGGACCGTGATCATGAGCGCCGCCAGGATTACTTTCTTTCTTCTTTCTAATGACTCAAAAGTATCTGAATTTGGGATTTTTCAAACATTCAAAAATTCATAACTCTGAAAATATTTGATTTGTCATAAAAAAGATCCCATGATCTTTTTATTCATAGTTTGCGCGCCACTATTAATGTCTTGTACATGGCAACACTAGTTACCACTAGCGCCCTCTAGTATCGAGTAGCAGAACTAGGAGAGTCAAGATCCTTCTAGAAATTTCGGGACCAATATGTACTCGAACATACTAGATGTTTCTACGGTAGAAGGTTCTGGAAACTATCTGAGGCCCTATATAAGACCGGTATAGACCACGACCGAGTCAGTATTGAATTGGTGATATAAGCGAATACTTCGAAGCGATACACCTGCGAACTTAAGTGATCAGTAGAACAATTGTGTTTTATTATTAGGTGATCTTAAGTTGTAATTAGTGTTCTGTAATTAAAGTGTCAATTTTGGTAATTCACTCGGCAGTTTTAGTTGTCTTGAACCCCAAGCTCGTAACAATATTTTATCATAAATAATAAAAAAATATTTTTTTTATATTTTATTCTTTTTCTTTATGTATTTTTAATGGGTTAAAAGTATACGAATTTGGAATTTTTCAAACATTTAACGCTTCATAACTTAGAAAATATTAATTTAATCGTAAAAAGTCATGGAAACTTTTTTATTCGTATCTCATTAAGGAATATAAAAAATGTACCGTTTGAAAAGATCATTCCTTGCAATTGAAAAAGAAATCCCTTTAAACAATATGGCACCGAGTTCCCCATGGCAACATGCATTTATACAATAAGTCACTCAGTCAATAGGATAATTTGAAGAGAATCACTTTAAAAAAATGAGCAAGAATAGTTTTCGGTACTCATGCACCGATTCCTCCTGGACTAAATAATATAAAATATAGAATTACATGTATTTATGTAGATAAATGTAATGTCAAATACAAATCGCGCGGGTATTTGATTGAATATATTTCGCTCATCGAAAACATACTTAATCTCTGTTGTCAATGGTTGGCATTGTTGCTCGGAAAATCCCCGCTGCCGCGCGACATGCTGTGTTCACAGGGAAAGAGTAGATACTGGATACTGAATTTAATGACAAGGTGATGAACAAATTTGGAAAGCAACATTGTGATAGCTTGGTGGTCCCAAAAACCCTAAAAAACCAAAAACCCCAAAAAACCCGAAGTTCCTTATCGGACGGTACGAATTTGGCCGATGGGGGCTAGGCGAGAAAAGTGTAAGATTTTTACGTCACGACCCCTTCTGAAGCAGTGTAGACGGCCTTGGCGGCTATAAGGAAGTGAGATGGAATAATATCCATCTCCCTCGCACTTTTTCTTATCTTCCCGTGAAAGAAATATTATTTTATTTTAAATGGCGCTTCATTTTAATAGACGATAGTACCTAATTCATTTATTTGTATTTGTTAATCAATAATATAATACGTTTATCAATAATAATATACTACGAAAGGGACTTCGTTCCAACCAAGTGTTCCACGACACTCACGCTAGTTTTTTTTGTGTATTAAATTATCTATTATTAAACCTTGTAGCCTAAGATAGAATATAAAATAAAAGTCATCGATACTAATACATTTACATTATACAATTATTACTAATAACTGTTACATTATACAATTTAACGAAACTAAGCTTCAAAACGGATTCCACCAGTATGAGATTTCGGCAGTAACCGAGTGTTTTCGTCGTGTTCATGTGCTGTCAGAAGGGCATCATTACCATAACAGATGATTTTTGTGAAAGGCTATGAGATTTTCTTAGAATTACCAGTATTAGTCGATTTTTACGGAACCAATTTTCTACCTCTATTGGGGTTGTGTATTAACTGAAAACAATTAATTTCCTTGGTATAAACCAAGGAAATTAATTGTTAATTAAAAACTGGACAAAATTTGCGTCTGTACTGCACACGGCTTGCTAATAGAAGAGAGAGAAATGAGAGAATCTCAATTTGACAGTTATAAAAAGGTTACAATAGGGTTGTACCGAATTAATAGTGATGTGCTACAATCGGTGCTGTGAGTGTCTCGGACAACCTATCCCGTCCTCCATTGTGCAACCGCACATCAGAGGCAACCACGCGGCTCGATTGGACTCACAGCAATGCAATGCCCGGCCGCCGCTTGACGACAAAAAATACCCCATCTCCCACGCGCTCAGCGCTTGCGGGGAGGCGCCCGCGAGCCGCGTGCCCGCCGGTGCTAGGTACATCGAAGAAGCGCGCTAACGCGCCTCCATTATAGTAATTTTAAATTTTAGCGTTTGGCGCAAACATGTATCTCTTTACGCCATGAGTAAATATCGAGAGTGGCGACGGGCAGAGGCGTCAAAGGTGCGAGACTGATGCGATCGTTAAGCCGCCTGCCAAGAACAACGATTGTGGCAAATGCTCTCTAAACGGGAGAGCCTCGCGTCCACCAGTTAACTTTTACATGCTGATATACAAAAGGAAGAAGAAGATGGAAGTACGGAACGCCTTTTAAATTAGGATTTTACAAGAAATAATAAAAAAAAGCAATAATCTCCCAACTGCTGGGCAAAGGCCTTTTCTCATCCTTTTTAAAGCAATGAAACGTCCGCCACGCTGCCCCAATGCGTGTTGGCAGACTGTCCTCAATTTTTTTTTAATTTAGAGCATAGAAGAGTATCACGCTACCCCAGTGCATGTTGGCCAACTTCACGCATGTTTTTATTTAATTAGAGCAAGTAAAATCCACCACGCTGCCCCAATACATGTTGACAGACTGTCCTCATTTTTTTTTAATTTAGAGCAAGGAAGAGTATCACGCTGCCCCAGTGCATGTTGGCAGACTTCACACATCTTCTTTTTTTAAATAGAGCAAGGAAAATCCACTACGCTGCCCCAATGCAGGTTGGCAGACTTTGTCTTCAATTTTGTTTTTATTTTTAGATCAAGGAAGAGTCTATCACGCTGCCTCAGTGCATACTTGTCGACGAAGTGCGACTTTCGCATGTCCTCAAAATACTTTTTAATTACTCAGATGCGAGCATGTGGTAAACCAGCACTATTACAATTCACAATTACAGTGGTGCCGGCGGGTTAATAAATCAATTATTTAAATTAAAATCAACACAAAAAATGTAACAATATTATATTCAAATGTATGACAATATTTACAATTTAATATTACAAAGTACAAATGGGGATTTATTTTAAACGGTAGATAGATGATTTCTTCATTGTAAATTATATGAGAGTGACAGTTAGTGACAGTTTAGTAGGTGGTATGACCCTCTTCTTACCTAGGATTCCGTGTAGGTAGGTACAACCCTCTTACCTATATGTCGCTAAATTGCAGTGCGTGCTCTTGTGTGCTGCTCTGAATGCTAAGAGAACCGGTATAATATAAGGCTGTGAGGCATTCCATTTTAAACCTCAAAGGCGACATGCACCTGCAGCATTCTTTAAAGTTGGCTTCAGGTGTCCATGGACTGCAGTAGCCACTTACCATCAAGTAGATTGTAAGTTCATTTGTCATTTTAAAAAAAACAAATGCACTATGATATTTCCAAAGTACGTATGTATTAACCACATCTCAAAATTGAAAACCAAAATGAGGGTTAATTAGTATGTTTGAATTCATAATTCAGTAGCCCTCTTTGTTATATGATTTTGTCATCTAGTCTCCTCTCCAACTCCCTATCCGTTGCTCTGTTGATATATGTTGCCCATAACATAACATATTATATATTTTAAAGATATTATCGCATGTAGCTATATACAGTAATATAATTCACATTTTTAACACTATAATATATTATATAACCACTTTACTGCCGGTTATTACAAGCTATGGCGCATCTGCCACCACTGCTGCTAGATCCTTTAAGAATGGCTCTATTTGACTCTCCAACGATAATATATGGCCAGTGTTACAGTTGTCACTCCCAATAAATGTAATGATTAATGGCAGCTTGTTCATTTGAATCACCTACAACAAAGTATGGAGAATTTAAAACAAAACCAACATAAATATCTTCAAAACATACTAGTTAGCTCAACAGTTGTTGCTCTGTCCTTACAGACAGGTAGTGACTTTCAAGAGTAGTAATTTAGATTTTTGAGTTACACTCAATTTAAAGATTATGAACAACTTGACGACAGTGCCACTTAGGTCCGAATTTTGTGACTGTCTTTTTTTTATATAGAATGGGGTTACAAATGAGCACACGGTCCACCTGATGGTAAGTGGTTGCTGTGGCCCATAGACATCTACATTTATCCTCAATAAAGAATCAAAATACAGATGCATTGTCTCCCGTGAGAACTAAGATGGAATGCCTCTTTTCCAGTAAAATGGGTCTCCGGTTCTCTACACTAACTATACGAAACACAGCAGTGTCAAGCTGCCATTTTATGCTGGTATTCTGTGAGATCGTGGTCCATCCCCGGTCGAGCCAACCCATTTGTGCTACAACTATACTACTAATGTAGCTGCGACATGGCTCTGCCACATACCAAGTCTTTTTTACATTAAATCAACATATTATATTGTTAATGTAATAAAAATTTATGTTATTATTATTATACTATTCTGTTTGGTGTTCTCTCGTTTCAGAGACATTATACCTTCTTCGCAGGCTGTTAGCCAAATGAACTCCACTCTAAACTCTCCACTCCAAATGAATGTTTAATCTTTAGACAGAAACTTACGGACTATTCTGCAAGTATTCAATATTACTGCTTTCCGCAGCAATATAAAGGTAAGTTTATAGATGTTTAGCTCCTTTAAGCTAGAAAAAAGTGAATGGGGAAGTACTCCAGTTGCTGATATTGTAATAGGTACAGTTTCACTTTCCACTGGGATTTTATTTCCATTCTATTCAGATTATATTCAGTGTATTTGGCTATTTTTTTCATTATAGGTGGAGGTCAAGTTGTGAGAATTTGGTATAGCAATATCTATAAGATAAACTGATTCGTTTCTTTTGTCATGTAGGGTAATATCTGGTCTATTATAATGCACGGTCTTATCAGTTCATTTAGTTCTGTCCCAGTAGAGTTTGAATTCACAAGAGTCAAGTATAATTTCGGACTTGTTATAAATACAAGTAATAATATATAAATATGCTATTTTTTCATCTATAAGTTTATATTTATATGTGAGGTATTGATGAATAATGGCAGTTACTTGGTCTTGTCTGTGTTTATAGTCAGTATGTGTTATTGAGCTACAGGCACTAGTGATATGCTTTTTTTTATAGAATTAGGGTGACAAACGAGCACACAGTCCACCTGATGGTAAGTGATTGCTGATGCCCATAGACATCTACATCTATTTTCGTTAGCAAATTAAAATGCAGATGCGTTGTCAGACGTGAGGACTAAGATAGAATGCCTCTTTTCCAGTAAAAAGCGTCTCCAGTTCTCTACACTCACCTACGAAACACAGCAGCATTAAGCTGCTATTTTATGCTTGTATTCTGTGAGAGCGTGGTCCTTCCCCGGTCGAACCTACCCATTCGTGCTACAACTATACTATTAATATAGCTGCAGCATGGCTCTACCACGTAAAGAATGGTTGAAATGCTGAATGGTTTCTGAGCTATTATGACAATGTCTGCAAAGGTCTGATTGTAGAGTGTGGTCTTTTTTAATTATGTGTTTCCTGTAGTTTAGAGTGTGTATAGTTTAGTCCAGAATTGCTAACATGAAGCCTTCCGTTTCAGGGAAGAGTTCTCCGTGCTTGAGCCACATGTTAGATGCTATCTTATCTACGATTGTGTTCATCAAGTCGTATCAGTGTCTTCCATATAATGTCTTCTGCAACCAGCTGTTAATTTTATCCTGTGCAGAGATAATACTTTCATTTTTCTGTTTTCTTTGATCTTTGAGGTTTAAAGGAATGAGTTTAGTATAGCCTAGCACAACAACATTATAAAGCGGACTATTATTGGCTTGTTGATGGAAAAAGTTTCGAATAGCTGAAATTTGAGAGTTATGAAGATTTTTTATATCTATGAAACCTCTTTCACCTTCTACTTTAGGTAATGTAAGTCGTTTGCTACAAGATCTAGGGTGGTGTATTCTGTATTTAGTCATTGTTGTATTGATGAGACGTTGCAGCTTCTTTATTAAGTTACTTATAGACCAATGAATTATACCAAAAAAATAAGTTAAAATTGAGATAGCGAATGTGTTTACTGCTTTAATGCCGTTTCGTGCATTTAGGTGTGTGTTAAGTATTCTATTTAGGCATAATTTAAATTCTGTTTCTAATGTTTTTTTCACATGTTTTGGTGAATCTGTCAAGTCTGAATAAATCCTAGATATTTATAGCCAATAATTTCATCTACAGGTTCAATGGTGTCACCTCTTTGGAGAGTATACGAATTTTGTTCTGATTTGCCTCTACGATTTTATTGTATCCTGCATTTATTTATACCAAATTCCATTTGAATATCAGTTGAAGAGCTTTCCGTTATATCAGCAAGACTATGTATATCTTTTAAGCTACTTCACTGATACTACATACAATTTTATGTCGTACATATAAAGTAAATGTGATAGTGTGTGATGTGTATTTCCGTTGGGGACTTTATATCCCTTGTCAGTTCTATAGAGAAGTTTAGATAAAGTATTTAAAGTCAGGCAGAACCGGAGAGGACTTAAGGAATCATCTTGAAATATTCCCCTTCGGATTGCTATTATATTGGTCTCTAAACAAGAGTCACCAATGTAAAGCTTAAGAGTACTTCTCCAATGGAGCATTGCATTTTTTAAGAATTCTATAATTTGAGGATAAATTTTATAGTGTTCTAAAATGTATATAAGCCAGCTTATGGGGTACTGTGTCTTTACTGTGCTTTTTTGTAGTCAATAAACATAGTGATTATATTTCCTTTTTTGGTGACTGCTTGTTTAAAGACAATTGTGTCAATAATCAACTATTCTTTACAACCTAGACTACATTTTCTGCATCCTTTCTGTTGTTCTGCTAATATAATTTAGGAGATAACATGCTTGTAAATTTATTAGCTAAGGTAAGACGTAATGATCTTATAAATGTTTTGGAGGAAAGTAATTGGCCTGTAATATAAATTTAGAATTTGCTAATAACTGGCTACAGCACTATTGGAGTTTTGCATAGATATAAACAGACATCTTGACAATACAAATATATTGTATAAATATGACATAATCTCTAATAGATGAGAACCAACAATTATATATATAGGAGATTATATAAAAGTTAAAGTTATACCACTGCTGAACACAGGCCTCTTCTCATTTCTGAGAGTGTATATATAATAATTTAAAATTAAAAAAATTCTACAACCAACTTCAATATAAGTTATTAAGAAAAACTCAAAAACTATTGGTCTGACCTTGATCAAATTCATATGGGCACACACGAGAAGTACCAGCTTTCGAATAAAAAAAGAATCATCGAAATCCGTTCACCCAGTAAAAAGTTATGAGTTAAAGATATAACACACATAAAAAAGTAAACATAGAGTCGAATTGAGTACCGTCTCCTTTTTGGAAGTTGGCAGAAAATAATATATATTCCATTACCATCACAGCCTATAAGTCCACTGCTGAACAAAAGCCCCCTCAAAGATTGCCTCATGGGGACCATGCCTCATTTTGCCATAGCTGGCATGCTAGGCAGGGGCGTTGGTAATTACAGTTTTTTATTATTTTTAGTTTTTGTCAGGAAGATGCTGCTGCCCATCTCATCCATGCTCCTATTTAAGGTATCCTCAGTCGCCTTTAACAACACCGACATGAGGAAATGGGGTAGTGGATCCACTGATAACTCATAATAATAGAAAACTATGGTTGCCAACATGCCTGTCAAGCTTGGCAACTTTGGAAAAATCCCCCCTGTGAGGCAATCTATCAGGGAGGCCTATGTACAGCAGTAGACTTTCATAGGCTGTAATGCATCAATGGATAGATTAAACAATGGGAAAGACAGATTTTGGTTAACAATCTCAATCAGCAAATACATTGTAATATGAAGACCTGTTGAGGCATGACAAGTATTGATGCATCAAAAGATCAGGTGCTAATGATACACTAAAGGTGAAGTGTATTTTGATTTAATTATTAAGAAAAGTTATTATAATACTCAAAGAGTCTAAAAGGTGTAAGCGAGAGATACCAAATTTTTGATGGTGAAAAGTCTAATGAAAAACAAAATATATTTAAATTACTACAAAGAAATGGTGCTGTGTAGTGGCAGCATAAGAATATCCACCACCCCATATTATTCCATGGGTGTCATAAGAGGTGACAGATGGAAACAAACAATGTAATGGGCAGCAGGGTCTTCCAGTTAGGCAGTAGAATGTGGAAAAAACTGTAGTTGCCAACTCACCTGTCAAGCGTGGAAACTATGGCAAGTTTCACCCTTATGATGGAGACCTTTGTTCAGTAATGATGATGATGGGTAATATAATATATTGATTATAAGAGCTGGATTTTAATCTAAAGTGGTGAAGGGTCCGGAAACATGTGTTGTAATTAGATTTCACTATGTAACAACGATTTGCGATTTTCGACACATAAGCGCACAGGACGAATGCTGACAGTATACTAACTAAAGCCACGCCCACTATGATGACATCAGGACCTACTTAGAATTAGTGCACAGTTGCTTATGCCGTCTCCTCTTTATATTTGCTTCATGGCCGTGACTCACTGTCAGAGGGATGAATAAACCTACAATTGATTTTGAGAGGGATAGGACAGTTTGGTGTACTACAGAAGCCTATGGTTTTAGTAAAAAAAATGGTTTTTCATAATCATATCATATATTATAAAATTAGAATGCAGTGAGCAATTCAATCATAATGAGCAATAAAATCAGCAACAAATATTGGGTGGTTATTTTAGGTGTAGGGTGTGTTACTTTTAGCAAAATATGATATGAAAGCCTATACTAGTCCAATATTTCTAAATGTGTAAAAAAACAATATTTAAGTATGAATTTGCTTATATTTTTAACCCTCCGTGCACCAGGTGGGGTTTGACAAACCCCAGTCCTTCAAATTTCGCAATAATTTAAAAACTGTGAACGCGCCTAAGTTCGAATTCTCAGTAGCTGGAATTGCAACGTTGTTGCTCTGATCAGTGGCACTAAGTCAGTCCAGCTGCAACTTTCAAACGAGCTACACGACCTTAATGTACGTATGGGCATCACACACCCCACCTCGTACGGCACTTTGATAAAGAGGTAAGATCTTTATTCAATGTAATATATGTATTTTTGTATTTATGTAGTGTTTAGTTTATGTATATTTAGCATTTTCAATGGATTTTAATTCGTTACAGATAATAGTTAACAAGAAAAATGTCGCATATCAAGGAAGCTGATATATTACAAGCATATTTAGACGAAGGAGACGACTTTTAGTTAGAATTTAGAGCATCAGAACCGGGATCTGTAGATGAATCTGAATTTGTGTATTTAGAGTGACACAAACAGCGAATTTGATGCAGAAATACTTTCTTGCCTATGGCTTTCTTGTTTACAGAAGTTGTGTTTTTTTGTTCTTTTATAATAATAAATATTTTAATATATATTTTATACTCTGAGTTTTATTTAAACCTGATTATTATTATGTATTTATAAATACCTAATACTTAATTTTGCCAAAAAACAAAAAATATGTAAATTTTGTAACTTTTTATTTTGGGGTTTGTCACACCCCACCCAGTATGGGACGAGACTTTTAGTCACCTGGTACACGGAGGGTTAACAAAATTAATGATTTATTAAAAAGAATTCTCATGGACTCCAAGGCGTAAATTATGTGCTTGTTGGGTTCACAATGATAACTAAGAACTATAAGTATTGATATTAAGGTCACCCCAGTATTTGTCTGAAATTCCTCCATAAAATAACTTTCAAACCCTTTCAATACTATAACTCGATCGCAATCCTATACCAGGCAGGATGAGATCAAAAATTTACTTATTTCACAGCATGTTAGATAAAATCTATAGCATATAAATGGTTTTTTTTTTTCAAAAAGAAACTTACCTGATAACTAGAGTACATAGAAATAATAGTTTTATTTCTGCCTAAACCTAGTTTGCTTGCTTGATCTGTAGCCATACCAAATGTAGATATAAAGTTGGGCCTAAGAGCCAATTGTGGTGCTCTCTCAGTCACTGCACGCACAACTGGTACGCCATCACGATCCGTTATTAATATACAGTGAAGACCGTTCACCCTAAAAAGTAAAAATGATATCTTACTTTTTCCGTTTTAGCACTAGTACCTACAAGTTATTGTTAGATATTGTACATACTTTTCCAATAGATGATTTAAATATTTTCGTAGATCGTCAACCATTTTCCTCTGATATTTTAACAATGTAGGAATATATATTTTAAATATATCAAAGAAAACAACAAAAATTGTTAAATACACAAATAAATAAATATAGGTATTTGAATCAAAAACAAAAACAAATTTTATTTTCTGAATTTACATTCACCATTTCTGTCAAGTGTCAATCTAGCTACATATATATTTATCTATGGTGTCAATTGCCTTTGTGCTGTTGTTGTTTTTATTATTCGCTCGAGAGAGCAGGCAAAGCAACTAAGCCATACAGCCTTGTTGTTTGTTATTTTGAATATATAGAATTTTAAAGTGTAAAGGCCGGAACTAAGTCTTATTTTTCTTCTTTCCATCTATTCAAAATCCATAAAAGCCGAAGCCAAGTCTTATTTTCTTTAATTCTTCATATTTTCAAAAACCGTAAAGGCTAAATCCAGGTCTTCTTTATATTATAATCTTTGTAAATTTCAATCCATGTAGATTTGTCAATCCAATATTTTCAAAAACAGGGATACCATATTTCATATTTCTTTTACAGTATTATGAATAAAATTGCTAAGTGCTAAATATGTCTTAGTGTTCCTAAGAACATCTTGCAGGGCACGCGGAACGCTTTCTGAGTTTTCATAAACTTGTATAAGTTTTTCAATGAGTAGCAATCTTTCTATGGCGTACGCTGGGCAGTTAAATATTATATGTTCTGCAGTCTGATCTGCTTCTATATCGCAGAACTTGCATGTTGCAGATGCTACTATTCTCATCCTGGTAAGATGAGCGTTCAGTCGATAGTCAATTACCTTTGTGCACAGACTAATATGATGCTTACGCATCCTTTGTGCCTTTGTCAGATTGACATTCATATTCATTTATTTTACTTAAATTTTAGGCTTGGATGCTTGTTTTATAAGCGGTGTCATCATTTAATTCGGATTTTTATGTTATCTTTTTCACAATATGCTGATGCATCGCATTGTGAAGCGTTTGGGGAATTCCGACAATAGCTCAACCCAGTGAACAGTGGATGACGACAGTTACTTAAGTTAATAAGGCGCCTAAGCAAACAAAATTTGAGGTTAATATCAATATCGAATCACTCGTTTAGTCATTTCCACAAATAGTTCACATGCGCAGACACTTAATACACAAGATCACATTACTTTCACGTATCAACATCCAATTAAAACTATTATTTAACAATAAAACAATAACAACAATCTGTCGACGGTCATGTCTCCGCCAATACTCATTGGCATTGGCATTCCATGAGCATAAAACCATAATGTAAAGTAAACAATGTTATCAATGCACTTCATTCTCGTTCGTAAAAATTAGTAAACGTGATGAATTGTATTATTTACAAAAAATAATGATGCCAGTCTAAACAGATACTAGACGCAAACAGAGTCTTACATACAGTAGTGTACACTTTATTTTTTTATTCTCATAGGCTGATAAGACGGCAATCAAACACGACTGGAGAGAGATTAGATGTACGACCAACGGCTTTACGTGCTTTTCAAAAGATGCGAGTAAAATACCACCAACTTCCAAACGACGGGCTGCTACTATGAATTTCTTGACGAAAAAAATCTGATAACTGATTTTGGCGTGACCATGGAATCTCATGATTAAAGCGAAGGCAAAGTAAAATAACACAATAATTTAACAGTTGTAGAGCCACGCGACAGCTTTTGCTGTCGCACGGATGGGCTGGCTCGAACCGGGGTACCACTATTGCTGGAGAATCCCTCGCTGAGCATCCACGCCCAAGCTACCCTACATTTTCTGAGCGTGGGTGCTCAGGCTGCCCCGCGTATTCGGGTGGGGGGGGTCAAAATTCCGCTCAAAACGAAACCTGCTCGGGCAAGCGTAGCACTGAGACAACGGCAACCCCTGCCACAATTTCCGTGACTTCATTCAAAACTTAACGCCGTCCACTATCTTCTGGAGACGGCAATCCCGGCGTTGCTCTTTCTAATCGAGACACTGGTGTCCTCTCCGACCAATACTTCGTATCTCTCCTACCCGGGGTACAAATTAGAACACTCCTTGGTGCCCCGGGCTGGAGTTTGCGTGTACGTCAGAGAGGACATCTGTTTTCGACGCCTGGGTAGTCTTGAAGATACGGACCTGTCCATGCTATGGGTGCGCGTATACTGCGACGACCATCCTCGCGTCTACGGGTGCCTCTATAGGTCCCACAGCAAAAATGCCGACACAGACCGACTCATCGACCACATCCAAATGGCTGCAGACTGCACGCTACAACAGGTCCCATCCGCAGGGATCGTGATGCTCGATGATTTTAACGCCCACCACGCTGAATGGCTTGTTTCTCGTTTAAACGATCATGTGGGTAGATCTGTTTATGACTTTGCCTTGTCGTATAGTCTGACACAACTGGTTACTTCGCCTACGTGGATCCTAGATGTGGAGGATCATGTACCTCCACTGTTGGATCTTCTGCTGACCTCTCATCCAGACGGATATCAGGTCTCCGTCGAGGCACATCTTGGCTCTTCGAACCATTGTCTGATCCGGAGTACGATGCCACTCATGCTCAAGGCTATAACTACAGCCCATAGGCTCCAATCATAGGCTCCAACTACAGGCCTATCGTTACCACCTACTTGTTCTCCAAAGAAATGGAAACCATTATTAACTGCCAGCTCATGCAGTACTTTGAGGATCACCAGGTGATTAGTAATGGTTTCCGTTGAGGTCACTCAGCTGCTGATCTTCTAGCTTACCTAACTCATAGATGGGGGAAGGCAGTGGAGTCCAAGGAGGAGACGTTGGCCGTTAGTTTGGAAGCTTTCCGAGAAATTGTGCAATTGGATCACCAGTTTTCTTACAGATCGGAACATCAAAGTCGTGGTAGTCGGCGCATGCTCTGATTACAAGCCCATTAACGCTGGTGTTCCACAAGGCTACTTGCTGTCACCAACGCTGTTTCTTCTGCATATCGATGATATGTTACCAACCGGTAGCATTCATTGCTATGCGGATGACAGCACTGGTGATGCTCTATACACCGGCCGTGCGAATATTTCTCGGGAAAACGTCGCCGAGTACTGGAACAAACTTGTGTCTGAAGTTAAGACTTTGTTAAACAAAGTCTCAGACTGGGGACGACTAAATCTAGTCTAGTTCAATCCCCAGAAGATACAAATTTGCGCGTTTACCGCCAAAAAGAACCCCTTTGTCGTATTTCCTCAGTTTCAAGGCACTCCCCTTGTTGCCTCAGCCAGTATTGGAATCCTCGGAGTCGACATATTGAGTGACGTGCAGTTTCGTGGTCACTTGGAAGAGAAGGCCAAATTGGCCTCTCTGGCCAGCTTGGCATTATTTCATGCCAGCACACAGTTTGCAACTTTACAAGGCGCAGGTTCAGCCTCACATGGAATACTGTTCCCATCTCTGGGTAGGGGCTCCCCAGTTCCAGCTCCTTCCACTTGACCGCATCCAGCGCAGAGCAGTTCGAACCGTCTACGACCGAGTTCTTTCCGATCGGCTTGACTCACTGGCACTGCGTAGAGATGTTGCATCTCTTTGAGTATTTTATCGCATCTATCGCGGGGAATGCTCTGAGGAATTGTTTGGACTAATTCTAGCTGCTTAATTTCACCATCGCACATCGCGACAAAACTCGCGACACCATCCATACTATCTGGATGATTGGCGGTCCACCACAGTGCGATTTAGAAGAAGTTTTCTTCCTCGCACACTTCCTTGTCGAATCGATTACCACCAGCGATTTTTTCGGACCGATACGACTTAGGGATCTTCAAGAAAAGAGCCTACTCCTTTTCAAAATGCCAGCAACGCATCTGCAATTCTCCTGGTGTTGCAGTTGTTCATGGGCGGTGGTAGTCACTTACCATCAGGTAAGCCGCATGCTCGTTTGCCCCCTCTCCTATAAAAAAAAAACATCGTTAGGAAATCTGCATATCTTGAAAACCCTCTAGCTAAATATTGAGCATAGTTATTAACCGCCTTAGATATGCTTAGAAAGTGATTGTTGTCAGTAAACCCCATCCTATGTTTACAAGAAACGATGAAACAAATAAAGTTTTTGGTGTTACAAGCCTTAAGATAATTTGCCCGCTTATGAGCCTTGTGAACTTGGTAATCACAAATCTATCAAAAGATTGCAATGTAACGCATCAACATAACATATGCTTTATATTTGTTTTTGAAATGTAGCTTTTGATGTAATATTTATGGTTGAAGGCATATTATTTGTTTTTCTTTTTTAATTTTATTAGGATTGTCAACTGATTCTTCTAGATAAATTTAATCCATTTACGAAAAATTCTTAAATATGTATTTTATTATTATTATTATTTATAACAAGGAGTCCCTATATCAATTTTCAGACCTCTAGCATTAAAATTTGCGGAAGTCTCATACAAACTCCCATCCTCTAGTTTAAGACATCTGGGGGGGTAAAAGGTCGAAGTTTTAGAATTTTTTTGGTGTTTTTGTACTAATACTAGCTCACATACTAAATTTCAGATTTCTAGGGCTTCAGGAAGTACCTTAAGAATTTTAATGATCATCAGTGAATGGTTTTTTTAGATATCAATAAAACCTAAAGTATAAGAGCTATGCTATTAAAACTTTATTTGTTTAATAAGTCCACTATTGATATCACACCCCAAGAATAAGTATGCAGCACTACAGGAACTTATTGAAAAGGTACACTTAGGTTAATATTTATTACTTTTCTTTATTATTCCGTTCATAAATACCCCCCTATATATAATGTATTCTGTGATAAATACATGTTTTAATATGAATTAATTTTTTGGTGTTTTGTGGATGCAAAACTAACTGCACATCAGCTAGATGTAGCTGTTATAAAAGCGGTTTGAAATGTTATTTTTGCAATTTTGCAAAAGTTGCCATGGCCAAAGTTGCAAAAAAGCGTCAACAACGCAAACAGTTTCAGAAAATGATAATCCATTGAATGATAATGATGATAATGAAAGGAAATATTATCGTAAAAAAGAAGAAATATCGATTGGAAATTATATATTTTCTGAACTAGATGAATCAACCGAGGAATTCATTGTATCCGTCTAATGAAACAGAAATGGAATTTGATCAGTATTAAAAAAATGAACATGCTCATGTTTCTAATATTGTAAATGT